TTTCTTTCTTCTTTTTTTCAGCATGGAATAAACCTATTACTTGTTCCTTTGCAGCCTACGCATGCTGACGCAGCTACCCACCTGAACTTCTAAAGCGTAATGTTTATAATGGTTCTGTAATGGTTAATAATTTGTTGCTTGTCAAAAACGGTACAGTAATGGTTAATGAGTAATCAAGATATTGATTATCTTTTACCAATAAAATCTCAGGCGCTCAGCGTGCCCTCTGAGCAATGTTAATATAGACCCATGTGGGGATAAGGGGATTTTCTGGTGAGCAGCAGGGGCGGGGAGAATCGTTACTTATCTCTGGCAGAGATGGTGGTGTGATAGACTCACCTCATCTGTTGCTTAGCAACTGCACAGTGTGATCACAGGGAGCGAGGTGGTATCAGTGCTGTAAACAGACGCCTTCCACCTTGTCATGCATCAAGAGTGCCCAGAATAGTTGTACAACAGATATGTGGTGTGTGTTCAGAAACATGCTGAAAATTGCAGTTACATTATACAATTGTAGAAATTATTTAAAAAAAAAAGGTTCAAGAGCCTGAAGAGAGCTTTTCTGCTACCAGCTGTGCTTATTGGAGTCTCCCTGGATTTCTAGATGTTCGATATAAATGAAATTATTCAACAACTCTGGAATTGTGGGCATCTTCCTTTTCACAAAATAAAGCAAGTAACCAAAGCCACAGTGCCTTAAATTACCTTAGAGATTTTTATTGCCACAGGACCTTGTGAGACCTGATACACACAATTGCGACACAAAATTGTGCTGTAATGCTGCAGCATCACCATTGCCTTGACTGCACTATGCACTTTTTGTACGTATTACAAGTGTGTGGACATTGTGTGCACTGCATAAAGCATTGTATGTATACTTTAATGTCTGTATATTCCTTTATAATGCTATGGACTGAAAGGTGCTATATAAAAATAAAATTGATTGATTTGATTGATTGGATAATCCTAAACCTGCACATACTGTCGTATGCCATGAGTGCAAATGTGGCAAACCATGAATGAGTTAAAGTCATGATTTTTCCCTTGATGTTTTCAGCCATTTAATAATAGCACAAGAGACTATAAGGCTAGAACAGTCTGCTCCTCAGACTTGCAGGCTGAGCTGCAATGTGTCTTGTTTATTTTATTACTCTGATAAGATTAGTACACATCAGCGTAAATCAAATAGGATGTCTCTGTAGCAACAGAAAATGCAATCCCAGCAAGAATCAATGTAAAAGACCTGTAATTCCTCATCCGAAATCTCTCCATGTTTATTTTTTTCCACCTGTTTTTTTCGGCTTTCTCTCTTCTGGTTCCCCATCTTATCATGTTTGGCTAATTTGGTTCCTCAACTTCTCTCCCTCCCCCCTCCTGTTCTTGGACGATCGCAATCACTCTCCCTCAGGGAGATATTCCCATACCTGGTGGTGGTGATCGGTCTGGAGAATGTGCTGGTCCTCACCAAGTCTGTGGTGTCTACTCCTGTTGACCTGGAGGTCAGATTGCGCATCGCTCAGGGTAAGTGCCAGTAGGGGAGAGGAGCGGAGAGAAAAGGGGGGAGATGGAGTAACGTGGATAATGGTGTTTGCTTGAGAGAGAGGAACGAACAGAAGGGAGGAAAGAAAGAGAAACCGAATGAGCAAGGGGAAGTGGAACCAGGAATAGAACTGTGTTTAATATGTAATTCTGAGGGTTTATAGGACAGAAGAAGACTGTAGTAAATTCTCTGTACCCTTACAGGCCTCAGCAATGAGAGCTGGTCGATTATGAAGAACATGGCCACCGAGCTGGGCATCATCCTCATTGGATACTTCACCCTTGTCCCAGCTATACAGGTAAATACTGCTGCACTTGTAACACAGCAATTCAAGTTATTCTGCCAGAAAAATAATCTTGATCTACAAGTAATGCTGCCACTCAACACTCAATAGTGTTTCTGGTTACCTGTACTAATATCTTCCTGTTTCTCCTCAGGAATTCTGCCTTTTTGCAGTGGTTGGCTTGGTATCCGATTTCTTTCTCCAGATGTTCTTCTTTACCACTGTCCTCTCCATTGACATCCGCCGAATGGAGGTGAGAGGTTACCCTATCCCACAACTACTTCATATTTCTACACAGTACTGGTTATACTGATGTGCAAAAGACATAAAACAGGTTGAATCAATTTGACCAATTAGTTCCAACAAAAATATCAAACAAAATGAATGTAAATAAAAATACAGGTCACAGAATAATGAAAGGTTTTCAGTATGAAATATTTTACACTGTGAAAATAACATTGCCAAGGTATAAGATACCTGAACGTTAATGCACTCCTGGCGGTTGATGCTTGTACTGTATCTGCTCATGTATCTGCTTTCAGGAGAAGAAACTGACCATGACACGATCTGGATGTTGTTTTTTTCAACTGTGCCACTGTAATCCTTACAGTGTGGTTTCGCATTGTCAAGGTGGAAAGTTGACTATCCCTGAGTGGCTTGCAGGAATTGGAAAAATTACTCAACATATGGCTGAGCAATA